CTTCAATGTCCACGTTAGCCCATTCCACTTCATTTCCAATGAACTCCACTTCAATATATTTCAATGTATTTGAAAATTTTGAAAGCCACTCCACTTTATCACAGTAATGAATAATACGTTTCATGCAAGAACTATCAAATTGTGCAGCCAATTCGAGTACTTACAACATATTCACTTGTAACAAAATGTAAAATATACAAGAAAGTATAAGGAGAGACTACCAATTAAATTCTAATCTAGACCTAACTTATGCTGAGCAGACTAGTTTTATTCTCATAATTAGGTACTGATCAACAGCATAGACTGTACAATGTATCATTGAATCTAATTTAGATGTTGATTCATTCATGAATTTACACAACAATTCCTTGTTCTACGACACTGTGATGCTCCAGAAAACAACATTTTGAATACTGTCAAAACCCTTCTAAATTAGAACAATGCACCTTCACTGCATCAAGAGAACATCTATCTCTGAGCTGGATGCTCAGAGAACAAAACTCCACCAAAATCATCCACCTGAGCTACAAATCTTCCCCACCATCTCAAGAACATCTATTTGCAAGCTCAAATGATATGAGGAAATAAAACATTGAAATACTAAAATGGAAATCAGTCCTTCCCTTGCGTGTAAACAGATTTATTAGTAATCAGATACAATAATCACAGTTGTAACTATAAATCTGTGTCTGGTTCAAGAAGTCGTTCTCAATCTTCAAAAACTCACTTTTAACAGAATAAATTGTCTCTCTATTCGTACAATCTTTGACGAACTCAATCTACATAACTGGATACAGTCAGTCCTACTTCTACATGATGGATACTAAATTTATTATCGTTTTTAATCCGAATACCTTTTAACAGTCAATGGTATAACATGGTGATCAAACAGAAGGGATTTGACTGCTTTAAGAAGTTACGATGATGAAATCGCCTTACAGAATTTATATTTAGGTAAACTACTTTGATTGAGATAAAGAGGTGAGTTTGAGCCGAACGCGCGAGGTAAATGAGTGTATCGTAAAAATTGAACTTCGATTCCATGAGATAACGTTCTTTTATCCACCTGAATCGTTTCAGATTCAATTCTCCATATGATCTGTTCATACGAATTTCTATGATCTTGAACGCATTATCCGAGTTCTGTAACTGTGAAGAAATCTGTCAACAAAAGGATTTGGAAGAACTTTAAAACGTGATTTTTGAGTGTGATTCATATCGATATGTAAGTAATCAGTCAGATTCTAATAGACATATACAGTCTCATCATTATCATTACTCACAAACAATAAGTCTCAATCAGCCTCATCAAGTTGTGATTGGCAGTTTTAAAGGATTTGGTCGGATGGAAATACATTTTGTGGTGAAGGCACTATCCTTTTGTTTAGATCTTTTCGGTACATTAGACTAGAATTCCCGTTGAAATATTACGAAAGTCAAGTCAGTTACTTTGATGGTTCTTCTGATGGTAAGTCCATAATTTTCTTCGAACTAAAATTGTTATTGAGTTTTCGTGATCACAAATTAATCTCATGAATCAAAGTTGATTCAATTTCTTCAGTGAATCAGTCGCTTGGTCTTCGTAACATGCCGAACCTTTTCCTCAAATTGTCTGTGATGTGATGCCTTATAGCTGATTCAATTAAGTCAATAAAATTCCTTTGAATCTTCAGTCTAATTCGAATTCCTTTATCCATTCAATGTGAAATCATCAATCAATTTGCATGCTTCCTTTATTAAAATTAAAGGTCAGATACTTAGGTATGAAAACAGAATGCACTACGGACGAATCTCAAATGAATTAAAAAGACATCTGAATGCTTGAGTTTGATGTTTTAAATGAAAGTGGGTTCTTATATTATTCAGTTGTAGATTGTTTTGTTTCCTTTTCTCACATTCATTTCGTATATTTGATAGCTCATTGATACTACACTTATTTGTAGACTGAGTGAATCAAACTGAACAAATATGCAGCAATGAGCTATGTTCTGAGTGGAGTCAGTTTGAACTAGTCAAGCCTACAAAATACCAAATTATATTTGTTAACATTCAATGCTTTACTAGCACTTACTTGATCCATACTTCATTGAACTGTATCTCTGTAATCATATTCGTATGATTATGATCTCCGTTTCGAGGCACTTCATGAAAGAGCTGAATATTGAACGACCATGAGCACTCCGCCAGTAAAAAGTGTTTTACTTGAACTTGAGTACCTAAAACATCAAGTTTACATATATTCATTTCGGTCTGCTGTCCGAATCCATGAATAACTGACTCTCAGAAAATGATTATTTTTGGCTATTTTCAGATAGATATTAAGTTACTCTTACTCAGTCAAAAAATCATTGGACAAATTTGGGCGGACGTGAAATAACTTTACCGAAGTCAGTTGATTGAAAAGTTCATTATACCATTGAAGCGACATTATTCATTGAAACATCTCCATTTCATGTTAATGTCGGAATGAAACAGATAACTTGTATGCAAAGGTAGTACGGGTTACAAAGTACATTAAATAAAAGAGATGGATTTTCATTTTACAGATATTTCATTATCTATTTTCGTATTTTCAATAATTCAGAGGGATTATTCACTGTCAAATGATCTCATGAAGGAGAAGATAATGGTACACGTAAATCAACACATATGAAACCAGCACACTTACACCTTCACGGATTGTAATCACTCAATATTTGTGAGATTCGAATCTCCTTAGAAACTGAAAATGTTAGAAGTTCTTACTTTTTTGAAAAACGATGATTGATATGTATGTGAAATCCACTCACCATTTGAATACATTGAATTCGACTTGAAGATCAGTTGACATGAACTGGTAATGATTAGATCTGAAAAGTCAAAAATTGATCACCATAGATAAATAAGGTCAAAATCTCATTTCGCCTGTTGGGAAACAAATGAGGAGTTTCATTTTTGTTTAAAAGCTACGATAAACCTTGGCGGAAAATCGTTGCGTCAAAAAAAGCGAATCGTATTATATGTTTGTCACAAAGCCATTCCTATGCATATCATATTCATCTACACTTCCATTCATCACATAGTCATTCCTGTATATATGACCCATTCATATTGAGTAGTCGTTGAGATTACACATTCAAATCTATTCGTCTCTCATCCACCACAAGCAAACACTGTGGTCACAGTTACTTCATCGAGTTAAATATCTATATGTTAGGTGATCAATAAGATTCTCAAGTTGCATTTGTGAATAAACGCTTCACAACTTATGTCATGCATACTTGGAGTCGATTGTTAAAAGGAAAATTATAGAAACTATTGCGTACGTGAAAATACCTTTGCAGTATTAGACCTTCAATGATTTAACAGTAATACAATAGTAATACACATTCAGAAACTCAGCATTTCACACTAGTTTGGAAGGATGCATGCTCGTTTTATTCACATGAAGTTCACTTCAATGTTTTCAGATGCAAATTTGAATATTTACTGCATAAGGAAAGTGCCTGTACCCGTAGATCGATTCCAGAAGGATCCTGGAGTGACCGATATCATCAACTTAAGACCACCGATAGTTGCCATGCGGTTGCAGCTAAGACGTTTACAACACTGTGAGTTTTAGGACGGACATTCACCAAGTTAGATACTAACATGATCATCACAGTATACACAACCTTCGTGAGAAATAAGCCTGAAAAATGGATTGACGCTGCAGGTTCTTATTTAAAAGTTGACCTGCAAAAAATGTTCAGTGCAGTTACCCGTGCGATTCCAGAACTCCGATGTTTACAGCAAAAAGAGATGATTGAAATACAAGACCTCTTTACTGTGTCTTGTCTTAGACGGAGATGTGACCTGATTTCGATGCACAGAATACAAAGAAATGATTTTGGACCCAAAATAATTTATCATTTGCTTCCCACTAGATGTGTTCATCTCAGAGAACAAAGTAGTAAAGTCAAGAACGAAC